TTTGTCTCCTTCGGATTCTGGAGTCCATCTGCACCATCGGTTTGAAATCAGGATTTTCCAACTTCCATGGGTAGACTCTCTGTGTCCACCAACCCTGTTAAAGTGGGTGCCGGACATTCGGTTTTCGTCTTCTCAATTTAGTAAACAACAGTAATTCTACGAGAACGCAGTGAGTAGGGTTTTCCTGTCAATGGATGTATGCGCGTGGCCATGTCAGAGCATTTCGAGAGGGAAAGCTGACTCTCCCCACTCTCGACCGTACCAGGGCATTTTGGGGCCGTGCAGTAAGTATCAGAGTAGAGCCTTGAACACGTGTGTTAGGCCAAGTTGCCATATCATATGAGTACGCTGTGTTACAATTGATAAGAGGAATGGCAAGTTTGATCGAAATAATGTAGTGGGAGTGATTATGGAGATGAATGAACATTGAGAATATGGTTCGAAAAGACAAACTGGAAAGGGTGACTGCATCTTCACCATTGTGAACGGCTCTGAACCATGTCATTTAGTATCTCTAACCACTGATTGTGGTATTTCCTCGGACTCCGACCAGGTTGTCTGCATCTACTAATATGAAGGGGTCTTAATACTCAACTATTTCACTCCTGCACATTAGTTCAGTCATCGGTACAGATCAGTCCTTAAGCGACAATGTACAGTTAAAAAGTGAGAGAAACATCGTAATCATGCTTGGATTGTTTCTCAAGGCAAATAGAAGATTTAGCATTTTTCCAGGATCTTTACCAAAAAGCACTATTATCTGCTACTCCAAATTGGTTTGTAAAGTTTCTGGTGTGTGATCAACCCCTAAAAATTAGGTGAAGAGTGTTATTTCTAACAGGATGTCTGTGGCAAAATTCACTAAAAAGGAGCTTAGTTAATCAACTCCGTTTTGTGTTGATAGGTCTGATAACAATTCATCATCACCTGTAAATCGAATAACAGTGCTCGTTTGAAGGATTTGTACAACGTAAATTTACTGCTTCCGATGATGGGCCTTGCCACAAATTCTGATGATCAATAGAGTTTATTGTTGCCTTAAGGTCAGGAAATACAACTATAGTCGTCTTTCGGTTGGTATGCCTGTGTTCCGTAACGTGAAGAAGGTCGACAATTAGATTTGTTAGGGAACACATGCAAGTCTGAAGTCAGTCAGACTCCTCCCGCTTCGCTGTTACTGAGAAGTGTCAAATCATTATGGAGGCTAGTATTTCAAATACTATATTCACCAAAGTGATTCCCGTATAGTTATCACAAGAGGATTTTACTACTTTTTTATAACCCTGGCCGATTGAGTCCACTCAGATCGGGTTAGACTCAGCTCTCCAACTGTAGGTATTATTTCAGCTAAGCTATTATAACTGACCCACAGTACATACAGATTTCTGGAGTTAATCTATCAATTCCTTCCGTTATTTATTTTACCAACTTATATATCGTAATCTAAATTATTGAAATATTAAATGCAATACAAACTTTGAGCCAAACTATTTTTTCTATATGTACACGTGTAGACGGCACAAAGCTGATTCAATTTCCAAACTCTAGATGTATTATATTCACTTGATATTTTACTTGTATCTTCCCATTGTTATTTAAGACTGTCTCATGTTGGCATATGTGCATCTTGTGCAGAGTGCCTCGATATAGCCTTAAGTCACAAGCTTTTTAAGCAAAGATCGATAATGGCTAGCAGTGGAATCCAGTTTGACGCGCGTTTAATCCTATTTGGGACTCATCAGCTGGATGTACCTGCATCGTAGAGTTGATGTTCACTATAGGTCTCGAACCTGGCACCGTTCGCTTCCAACACCATCGTGTTATCCACCTAGCTACTGAGTTTTGATAACCACCTGCTGATCATTTGGAGTCCTGGCACAACAATGGAGAGATACAAGTAAAACAACACCAAGTGAATTTAAACTTCACCCCATCGCACAAGCAGGTGGCTATCAGGACTCAGTAGCTAAGTGGATAACGCGACGGTGTTTGAAGCGAACTGTGCCGGGTTCGGGACCTGGAGTGAACATCAGCTGTATGATCCAGGTACATCCAGCTGATGAGTCCCAAATATGATGAAACGTGCGTCAAACAGTATTCCACTGCTAGCTACTATCTATCCATTATTGAAATATTGTTTGATTCCCGGACCGATTGGTATAATTAATGGGATTTGATATATGAGTGACAGAAAGCAGTTCGATCAATCAAGTTATTTTAGTAGCTTTTGTCTCAAACAAAATTTGCTAGAGGACCATGTCATGTTAGAAAACGTAAGAGCTGTTAACTCGTAGCCTTACACTTCTCGATAATGCTCCTTCATGATTTCGCAAAGAATAGAACGTAAAATCTGGAATTGATCACGGCGAGTATGTTATTTTGGCAATACCAAATCAGAATTGAATGGTTTATGTTTTCAATCAATTTGTTATACATTACATTCCTCATCTACTATCATAGTTGAATTATTATATAGAACTTGGTTTCTTATGAGAACTTTCAGAAATCAATCTACAGGTTTATCCCTTACTCGTAGTTGTTACTAGTATATGATACTTACTTGTAATAAACTGCGAGTGTACTTAGTATCGTTATAATTCTTGGCTCGGTATAGTTGAAGATAACTCGTAAGATTATGTCGATAAATGTATCATTGATAATCTAATTGTTTTCAAGCAGTGACAAGGTTATAATTATCTTGTCTTATTTCAGCTCTTTAAATTAACTGTTGTGAAGATTCAGTTTCAATATTTCATAGTTAATTGTCTTCAATTATATACATCGAAACAAATATAAATTATATGTGTGTCAATTATTGGATAGAAGTACTTTCAATATTTCACTCTTTAGGTTGATACAAACCGAATAATGTCTACTACGTCTAATAGCTAATATCTCATGCGAATATGGCTTCTTGTGAAACTTCTTTTCAAAATCTTAGCAGTAGGAAAACGACAATCACAACGATGCTTCTGAATGCCAATGATGAGTTTAAATTATTATAGAGCTTGTTCGTTAATCTTAAGTGCTTCCCATTAAAATTCTGTCGTAGAACTTATTCTAATTAAGTAGTTATCATTGTGGTGTGGGTTACTTATATCCACATAGGTAGTATATAACGATGGTCAGGCATAAAATTACAGTAGAAGATCGAGAAAGAAAGAACACGAACAGAAGGCAGTTTGTATGAAAATGTATGAACAATGAAATCTGAGACAATGGACTGATATCTACAGAAGGAATAGTCAAGTTTGAGATGATGGATTGACATTTTGCAAATTAACGATTTACTATATGGTTCTTAGATTTTAGTGAGATGTTCTGTAATGTTGTGCTCAAATGCATTCAATTGTCCCCACTCATGTTCTTGTTCACTACATCATTATCAAGGTTTGACTTGACAATTTCAAATAAATTGAGCATTGGGTAGATTGTTATATCTAAACGTCATATATTCGTAATATCTTATTGAGTAGAAAAATTAAATTTTTTCGACATTTCTTATTACAAAACAATGAACACCCTTCGAAATACTTTAGTTCGTTTAAGAGAAAAAAAATCCCCATTATGTCAACTCAATTCTGAGAATTGTGTCTACAAATGAGGATGTGTCGATTGTGATGCCTTTTACATTGAAGACACATCTCACGAAATCTTGACTCTAGCCAAAGTACATCTTAGGTACACAAAGAAATCACCTAATAGTTCTGTAGAACTGGATAGATTTCAAATTAAATCGGCAATAGCAGTTCACATCATTTTCAACAACCATCAAAATGGTATAAAAAGGTTTTACCAACTACAAAGAAAGGTGAATAGCTGAATCTTTCCATATAATGCTTAATCCTATTGGCCTCACTATACATCCGACTTTGATTATTTATCTAAGCTACCATATCTGATTCTATTTACATTTCACACTAATTGTGCATACAGATTAAACTCTATCTTTTCTCACCACAAAGGTCACATATTTTTTATCCCTGATCCCGCACATATACACATATATACATATATGTCGATTATAAATCATCTTGACCGGAATGAAATGACATTGATTTGATCAAACCTTTTTTCAATTGAACGCACCTAATATTCTTGCTGTATTCATTTGTACTAATTTTGATTTGGTTATTTATTCTCTGATGAACTGGCTTACATTGTGTCACGAAATGTCAAAAAATTTAATTTTTCTACTCATTAGGATATCACAAATATATATATGGGTTAATTGAAGATAGATCACCATGGAAAACCTGAAAGCACTGGACGGTAGTTTCGTTCTAGTATGGGACTCCTTACTGGAGCGCATCCACGATCCCGCCCCACAAGGTTCGAACCCAGGACCTATCGCTCTCACGCGTGAACTCTTAAATTTTAGACCACTGAGCCGGCATCCAACGGCGATAATGTCTAACTTCAACTAATCCATGAAATAGCGCCACTGTCCACCATTATCTTCAATGAGTCACTGCCTCACATCAGACACTGTTGAACTTCACCAGTACTTCCTGGTTTTCCATGATGATCTGGCTTTGATGTTATGTAGTGTTTATTGTTATATCCCGACGAGAATTATGAATGGTGACTTTTGAAAACAATTTATGGACTAATACGATGCATATATTTTTATTGTATAATTATTAAGTAGCTGAACTGTACACTTTGATGTTCCTCTTATTATAAGCTTTATTTTGACCCATAGACTATTATTATACGGTTTACCATTCTTGATTTATATCCTGTCTATTAATCACTACCTCCCACATTCACAGCCATATTTGGCTCAATCTTGTACATATGTTGTTTCCTATTTTATGGTACTATTTGATGTGTTTGGTTTGTATATAAACCCAGTATGTTTGAAATACATGATTCATATCGTAGGGGCTGAGATTAGTGTTCTGGACTCTAACAAGCAAGAAGAAGGACTGATAAAAACACTAGACTGCTCGTACTGGTTTTATGCATCATTGATCCAGTTGATAAATCACTGTTCTCTAATCGGAGGTATCATTATGTCATATATTGATAGGAGTACAATGCCACGAGTGATAACAATAATGAGTTATACACATTATTAATCAACCAAACAACATCAATAACTCTCTTTAAATTCATGATATACATAGACTATGTTTTGGAAATAAATAAAAGCAAGCTGAAAGGCATAATTAATTCATTACAATAATAATAATGAATGAATGAAAGCTTCATTGTTGTTGCAAGGAAAATAGTTTGTTATTTATTAATGAAAATAATAATAGGACATTATTTTATATTCATCCCCACCCCCGCTCGAAAAAACATTATTCTCCCAATAATGCCAAAAGTAACTTGCGAAAATCGCCCGATGTATCTTCTCGTACTGCTTCAATTAATGGTTTACCAAAATATTCACGATACATTGATTTCAATGTATTCATATCAATCTAATGATAGAAACAAAAATAATTAGTGATTGAATTTAGAAGATTGAGATATCAAGTTATTTTAATACTTAACTAGTCATGTGGTGTTTGCTACTGATGTTGATAGATGTAGGTAGTATGTATGATCAATCAAGAGTGGAATGTCTGACGACAGATGATTAAGAAGATCGAAGAAAAGAAGACGAGAACAGAGAATGATTGCTGTGGAAACAATGAAGTCTGAAATAATTGATTAACATTTTGCAAATGAAGTGTTTACTGATGGCTTTGTTATAACTAATTGTGATTCAGATAACCGTTCAGTTATCCATTTTTGTTGCATGTTATCATATCTGACCAAAACCATTTATTAGTTACATATATCAGCTATATATATAGCCTAAGTTTTCTAACCTACTTCTATACCAGTAAACGTAGCCCATCGATGTGGACAATAGTTAACCGAATGTACTATACGTCTTAGCTACCTCAGTGAATGAAAATTTACAGGTTGATCAACCAGCTTGTCATATTTGTCTACTATCTTAGCAAATTTAACTGGAAACATTTAGTAGTTGCATATATCAACTACCCATTGTGGGAGAGAACAAACCAGATTCCAGCGGAGGAAGAAATCAGGAAGAAGCGCTGGAAGTGGATAGGACATACATTGGGGAAAGCACCCAACTGCATCACAAGACAAGCCCTCACATGGAATCCTCAAGGCCTAAGAAAAAGAGGAAGACCAAAGAACACATTACACCGGGAAATGGAAACGGACATGAGAAGAATGAACAAGAATTGGATGGATCTAGAAAAGAAGGCGCAGGACATAGTGGGTTGGAGAATGCTGGTCGGGGGCCTATGCTCCATTAGGAGTAACAGTCGTAAGTATGTAAGTAAATAATATATCAACTATATACATACCTCACATCGTAAACAGGTAATTCGTATCAATGTATCCTCTCGTGTTCCAAGTCCGTACATACTATCATATAATTGACAGACTAATAACAAACGTAAATCTATCAATGCCATAACTGTTTTAAAGAAGAAGAAGAAGAAATAATGATAATTGTCGACTTAGTATACAAAAAAGACAATCATACTGAATTGCATTGAATTTTCATGGGTTGAAAATGACTAAATTTCAAAAAAGGTTTTATAGTTATAGCAATTAGCTCCTTTGATAAATTTCGATAATGTAATAAGAAGACAAAGATTATCAGAATTATGTGATGATATATTAGCGCAATACATATCGTTCACATATGTTGACGATATCTTGGTTATTTGTGAAAGAAAATAGGATATGCACTGTTAATTGAATAAATTTAACACTCTCTAAAACCATATCAGACTCTCATGTGAAGAGGAGAAGAACAATCAGCTCCCCTTCCTAGATATACTTCTGAGTAGACGAGAAGATGGCTCAGTCAAGCGTTCCATTTTTTAAAAACCAACGTGGACAGGTCAATACCTTAGTTATTATAGCCTATTGCTCTGTGCTATACAAACGTGGTTTGATAAGGTGCCTTTTCAACAGGCTTAATCGAATTTGTACAAATGATGCTATTGATGATGATATTAAGTTGCTAAATAAAACATTAATAGAAAATGGCTATCTTCTGAGATTCATAAATAGATGAAAAGTTCATGGTACAATGAGACCTACTGTGGCTTCAGTGGAAAAAAAGCCTGTATACATCACCCTACCATTCAGAGGTGATTCCAATTGCCTTTTATTGAAACAAAGACTTAAATCGGTCATCAACAAAACATATTGCGCAGCAAAGGCCATTATCAAAGAAAGAACAAGGTGCATGGTTTATCCAAAACCTAAAAGACATGAAAACGACTGTATCACATCCCACTGTGTCTACCAATTTCAATGTGTGTGTGGTCACACATACATAGGTAGGAGCAATCGTGATCTCAAAATTAGGGTGTGTACCAAAATGGTTGCAGAAACAAATACAATCAAGTGACCCAATAAGAGCAGAGGATAAACATCCATCATCCTCTATTGCTAAACATATAATCAAACCAGGCCATATGATTGATCTAAACTCGGCTTTTGTGATTTTGTATAAAAGTGTAAAAGGGCGTATATTAAGGTTTATTGAAGCTTTAGCCATACGAAAATTCAAACCCACTTTGTGTGTTCAAAAACAGTTTGTTCTTACCTTAAATCTACCCTGGTAATATTGACTTATCCAGAGTGATTAGGTTTCGAATTGTATTCACATTATTGTTACTCTTATTATTATCATCCTTATCTCCTCTTACCCCGTTTCCAGTCTAGTTGACCTTTTTATTTTTATATATAATTGCTCTTAACAAGTTTACGTGTGATCAGATTGTTCGAAATGTATTGCGCTAATATATCACATAATTCTGATAATCTTCGTCTTCTGATTACATTATCGAAGTTTTATAGTTAGTTTAAATTGAATTGAACACCTTACTAGTGTTGTCAACTATTCATGAATTGTAAAAAGTTACAGTTTTGAAATGATTATTTCATAATTATTCAGTTGATTGTAGATATTACTTTATGATCTGTGCTACTGATATTGACAGATATAAGTAGTATATATCAATCGAAAGTGAAACACCTGGCAGCAAAATGTTAAGAAGATCAAACAGAAGTGAATGAGAACTGAGAGTGATTGGTATGGAAATAAAGGAACAATGAAATTTGAGACATTTTGCAAAAGAAATATTTATTGTATAGTTCTTAGATTTTACTAAGGATGTTCTGTAATATTGTATTCATATACATTTGATTGTCCGAACTTCTGTTCTCGTTCACTACAACTTAATAATGATTCAGAGAAAGCATACAAGAATTTGTCATCCAATAACCAGATACAAATCTACTTCACCTACTTTGTCGTTATGATAATAATCCATACTCGTACTTCTTTTAACAGGTTTTGACTGACTTTCATTCTCACTATTAATTGAATAAGTTCTACTATTTCGATTGAACGTTTGTTTATAGAAATGGCAGTTGTTGTTAATATATAATCAGTTAGATGGTTAATTTCTTTTCTTATAAAGTACGTTCAGTTATGTTTCCATGAATAATCAATCAGTAATCTCATCTGTATGACTGCAATATTTTGCCAGTTTAATTGATCAGTCATAAGAGACTTTTGTTGTTTTTGAATGATTCATATCATAAGAATCATCAGGGTATATTATTGTCTGTTACAGGAGTCTATAAATAGGTCTATCTCAAATCCTATCTTACGAATCTGCACCATAACTAAATGACAATATAAAGGATGATGGATAGTGGCTAGCAGTGGAATCTAGTACGACGCGCGTTTCTTCCTATTTGGGACTCGTCAGATGGACGTACCTACATCTTAGAGTTAAAGTTCACTCTGGGAATCGAACCCAGTACCGTTCGCTCCAAACGCCATCGCGTTATCCACCTATCTACTGAGACCCGATAGCCACCTGCTTGTGCGATGGGGTGAAGTTTAAATTCACTTGATATTGTTTACTTGAATCTTCCCATTGATGTTTAGGACTGAAATTGATCAGTCTCTTATTGGCATATATGCATACTGTACGTATCGCCTCGATATTGCCTTAATTGAATCAATGGGAAGATTCAAGTAAAAACAATATCAAGTGAATCGATTGATAATTTATTTATCATGAATTACATACTATCAATCTATAGTTCATTACACTTCATATTAGCCTATATCATATGTGTATTAGTATGAATAAAAAGCATCATAACGATTTCAGATGATATAGCTCTTGATAACATCACCAATTGATTTTGATGAATCTCGATAAATTTCACTAACTGTTCATGTGGCAATATATTAATTCATGTTATCCTTACTTGGTGTCCGATATCAGACAAACAGCCTTTCAACTTCCTTTATCTGCAATAAATTTTATTGTTAACAGTATTTTATATATCTTATGATAAAAAATTGCCATGGTACGGTCGAGAGTAAGGAGAGTCAGTTGTCCCTCTAGAAATACTCTTACATGGCCACATGCATACAACTACTGCCAAGTAATTCCTACTCACTACCCTCTCGTGGTAGAGGGTGTTGTTTACGAAGTTGAGAGGACGAAAAGCGAATGTCTGGCATCGACCTAAACCGGGTTGGTGGACACAGTGGGTCCACGTAGAGGAGTTGGAGAACTCTGATTCCAAACCAATGGTTCATATGGACTCCAGAATCCTAAGGAAATAAATGACATATGAACCTATTGTTGGTCATCAGTTACCATTGGACTGCATCGCCTTACGTTGCTTCACTGCTTAGTAGATTATACCTTTAGGTCAAAGGTTCCAAGTGTGGCGCCCTAAGAAAACCAACTTCTTCAGTTTGAGCACACGAGCAGTATCCTAGCCCTCACATGAGTTGAATGATTTGTGTGGAATATATCTGTTTTGGTACCTCCTTGTATCAATGCTTATTTGTTTAAATAAATAAATAACTTAACACCGGAAACATATTGAAATATGAAAAAAAACATTCATATATAGAAATGGAAAATAAATTAAGAAAATATTTCACTTACTCATTGTATTTAATCCTGATCTAAATGGCTCAGAGAATTTTTTCGATATAACTTCAACTATTGTACTATGATATTTCTATAAATAGAATATAAATAACATATACAACTATAACATCTAGAATAGTTTCTATTATTTAAGTTGTATATCAAATATGATTTTTTATGAAATGATCCGTTCAGTGATTTTTTAGTGTTTTACTTAAGTACGTTTCAGATTAGTTACTTGAAACTAAAACGTAGAGACCTACCACAGTCATCATCAGAAAAGTATCCGTATTTATAAATAGTTGTTTACGTAGGATATTGAATATCCATTGGCCGGATATTGTCAACATCAGCCTACTGTAGGAGAGAACAAACCAACTTCTAACTGAAGAGGTAATTAGGAAAAGATATTGGAAGTGGATAGGACATACATCGAGGAAATCATCAAACTGCATCATGAAGCAAGCCCTAACTTGGAATCGTGAAGGGGAAAGGAAAAGAGGGAGACCAAACAATACAGTGCGTCAGGAATTGGAAATAGATATTATAAGGATTGTTCAGAACAGAGTTGGATGGAGAGTGCTGGTGGACGGCCTATGCTACTCCATGAAGGATAACAAGCGTAAGGAAGCAAGTAAGTAAGTATAGTTTTCATAAAGAAATGTGATTGTTGTCATTTGCATTTCTACTAGAGCCCTTAATATGCAGTACTGAGAAACTAAAAGATAGAATACGATAATAGTCCAGTGATCTTTGCTGGTTAATAATTCTTCAATCTGTGTTAATTAGTGGTAAAAATTAGTTTTCCTAACAATAAGATCTATTAAAAACTTATTGTCTAATTTGAATTGAAGGTTAGAAATTTTTAGCGAGTTAGTGTTCTATGGGATGGGGTCGCTTATCCCATGTCCAACCCTCCTTTATCCGGGCTTGGGACCGGCAGTAGCCCCAAAGGGGCTTCAGGTGGAGTTTTGAATTAAAGGTAAGCAATGTAATTACAAACCAGTTTTTATCTAGTTACATTGGAAAGGAATATATTCATAAGGTATTGAAATATAATAACTAAAATCTTTTTTTATGTTTTTATTATGCATGGCTTTATTCAATAATATATCTTTTGGTATGATATAAAATTTCCAGTAGGAAGTATTTTGAACAAGTTTTCGTTCTTAATCGATCAATCATGATGATAACCTATTGAGTGATCGCCAGTTAAGTGTTAGCAGTTCAGGAATCGACATCTGAATAGTGTTCATTCTTTTAGATGTATATTGTCAGCAACCATGATATCTGTGATTACGCTCTTTTATAACTTGTACAGTAAAAAGGTCATAAACTTTTCACAAATCCATCTGAATAGGTTATGACATTAATAAGCATAGTGATGTCTTAAAACAAACAAACAAGAAAACTGATAACTTGTTGAAATATCTAGATGACAGTAACAGATAGCCCAAATATTAACGCTTGATTAAGTTGAATTGAATTTTATTTATTTATTTTAACACAGATATTGGTACAAGGAGGCATCAAATGCATATGCGCCACACAGATCTCATTTGATATTTTTGAGGACTGTGATACTGTCCGGGTGCTCAAATCGCAGCAAGTGGTTTTCTTTTGTGGCCACACTCGGAGTATTTGACCTAAAGGTCTGATCCACAAGGCAGTGGAACAACGTTAGGAGATGCAATTCCATGGTAGTCGGTGACTAACGATTGGTTCAAACTCCATTTGTTCCTTCAGGATATTGGAGCCCATTGGTTTGGAATCAGGGTTTTCCAATTCCCATGGGTAGACTCTCCATGTCCACCAACCCGGTTAAAGCACCGGACATTCGGTTTCCGTTCTCTCAAGTTCGTAAACAACCTCCGCTGTGCGAGAAGGCAATGAGTAGGACTTCCCTGGCAGAGGCTATATACGCGTGGTGATGTGAGAGCATTTCGAGAGGGAGAGTGGACTCTCGCCACTCTCGGACGTACCTAAGCATTTGGGGGCTTCGTCTCTCTGATTGTCTGTTCCAATCAACAATTGTATGAAGTTTACGTATTCAAACATATATTCTCGTCTTTGACTTATTTAATTCCATTATTCACTAATGCGAGTTAAGTTGATGATACGTCTATTTCATTAGCGATCATTCATACGATCTAGATAGAGTCAGATCTCGATGGCAATCGAAAATTATATTATGTAATTATATCAGATGGGTTTTGTGGATATTATAGTAATTTCAATGGTTAAGATCATGAGTCAGTTGAAGTTAAACCACCATGGAAAACCTGGAAGCACCCAGGACCTACTGGTTTCGCAGGCGAGCACTTGATCACTAGACCACTGAGCCGGTATCCAACGGTGTTTATGTCTAACTTCAACTAATCCACGAAATTAAGCGATACATCCACCATTGTCTTCAGTGAGTTACTATCTCACAACAGACCTGGTTGAACTCCACTTGTCACTACTTCTCACTAGAACTTTGGGTCATACCTCGTGAAGCCAGTCACTAGTGAGCATATGTTGATTAATATCAGATGTAATTATAAATTATTTTATCTTTATTTTGTATATCATACTTACTGATAAATAGACATCCCATATTTCTTTCACATGATATTTACTTCGTTTTGTTAGAATTTTGATGAATGTTTCAGAATCACCTTTACCTGCACGTCTATATCACACACACACACACACACGCATACACACAATAAAGAAGATAACAGGAATTGATATAATCAATATGCTATATGATGTAATCAACAAAGTCTATTGTAATGGTATTATTAAACAGAAAGTAAGTAATACTCGTTACTAAGTGAAATTGTTATATCTAGAAGGTTGTTCTTGATATACCGCGTATAACGTGAGCACTAGAACGCCAAAACCCTTCCAAGTCTCAATGAGAAGACAGAATACTAATGAAAGTAATATTATTCCCAGACACTGTCAATTATAGTACAGAATCGTCAGGTATTTATAGTTTTTAGTAGGAACGAAATCATCATTACACTCCTCCAATCCGCATACAGGGGGTCATTAGCATTGTCCAATTGGGAAGTTACCCGTAGGGATTCTAGAATATTCTTCCAAAAGGTGACTGAATGGAATATCTTCGGCTTCTTCTGAGCCTCCTACAGCTTCCTCGAGTTCACCCGTGGTCTGTCGTCACAGAAATCAGTTAGAGAGAGATGAAAAATGTTTTTTAAAAATGTTGGAAACGTATTTTCACTTAGTTAGGTACTCATGAATTGTGTACATCTATGATGAAATACTAGATCAAGTTAAAGGCCTTCCAGATTTTCACCAAATACAATGTTTTAAACTTGTCAATGATTCATATATTAAAATTATATCAGTTTGCGGATCAACAATATAATCTTTATATAGTATCACTGTGTACTGGTCGGCGGCCTATGCTCTATTGGGAGTAACAAGCGTAAGTAAATATCATTATGGCGTGCGCTACTGATGTTGACTGATATAAGTAGTATATGTCAACGATCAAAGGTGCAATACCTGATAGCAGAAAGTTAAGAAGATCCGAAATAAAAAGAACCACAACCGAGAATGATTGCTGTGGAAAGAAAGGAACAGTGAAGTCTGTGAAGACTGATTGTCATTTTTCAAATGAAGTACTTATTGTATGATTCTCAGATTTTAGTAAAATGTTCTGTAATTTTTGTTTAAATGTATTCGGTTTTCCTCACTGGTGTTCTCGTTCGCTACATTACCTATAATTTATGGTTTCATTCTTGACTTAATTGATGTGATTGATTTTGGCTCAATGCTGCTGAGTCATTAAATATCTTCGAAATGAATTTTCTTTGCTGATATCTGTCTCTGATTAAATTTATCCTCGAATTGTCCAAATTCTATCGAAAAACCACCTCAGTTATTTAAAATAAGTAGAGAATAGATCCATGAGCCAGTGTTAATTAGTAACACCTATTTTGTTCTGCACCGGGAATTCGAAGCAGACATCAAATGGACGAATGGCAATTGGAAACAACTGTAAAGGATTGTGTAGGACCGAGTTCAATGAAGGATACTGGTGGGCGGCATATGTTCCTCCACGAGGGATAACAAGCGTAAGTAAGTTAGTGTTTTGTTTGGATGAAAGTGATTCAAATCACAGATCAACCTTCATCTTGTCTAACATACGCAGTATTCTAATACATACTGGAGACTAACGTGATATATATTTTGCTTTCAGTTTCAGTCATAGATATAAATTAAAATAAAATTCTTTTGATTTACTTAACCACCATCAGTCTCCTCAGGAATATAAGTACGTCACACAACTAATTCGATTTGTGTTAGGGCTGGGATACTGCCCGAGTGCTCAAATCGAAGCAGGCGGTTTTCCTGGGGGGCCGCATCTCGAGACTTCAACTTAAATATCGGATGCTCAAGGCAGTGGAGATGCGATTCCATGGTAGCTGGTAACCAATGATCAGTTCGTATTCATTTGTTCTTTCAGGATACTCAAGCCAATGTGCATTATTGGTTTGAAACCAGGGTTTTTCAACCACGCTAGGTAGACTTTCTGTGTCCATCAACTCAGTTGAAGCTCCGGATCTTTGTTTTTCATCCTCTCAATTTCGTATACAACACCCCCAGTGACCTAAAATCTACTTAACCTTTTTAGTGGTGTATACCATTAAACGATGTTAGTGAATTATTTGATATTCAAGAAAATTAAAACTAGCACAAGTAATCACTGACAATTAATTGATCACTAGGTGTGAATCAATGTCATTGGTGTCAAGTCCTTATTAGTGCAGATCGAATGCTATCGACCATGTTGCAATGTGGCCACCAGTCTAGGTGACTCAACACTGCGTGCACTATGTCGCGCGGCCCGGATAGCTCAGTGGTAACGCTTCTGATTGTGAAGCTAGGTGACACGGGATCGAACCCGTCAGAGAGTACCAGTTCCCCAAAGGATACAGGTAGACCATGCTGACGAGTGCCAAGTAGCACGAAACCCGTGTCCATGGTTTCCTGTCGACTACTTCCAACCACCATCTAACAAGTAAACACAATTATATAATAGTTTCGAATAGTAATATGAATAGGTTATTACTGATTATGGATAAATTAAGCTTTTTATTCATTTACACTCATCAAGTTTTCTATTCTTCATATGTATGTCTTGGTCAATCTTCTTTTAACGAAATCAAATCAAATATTGATTAGTTATTATTAGTAGACTTACTTTTCTCCAGCATAATATAAATCTTCAACATCTTTTTCAACTTGACTTCGATTAATTAATCTTGATGTACTTCTAGTTCTTATAGCTTCTTCTACTAATTCAAATGGATCTTCATCACGTTTTCCTTGTAATAATGCTACTAATAATTGTTCATATGGTGGTTTTGTTTCTTTGATTATATCAGTTTCAAGTGTACGCTGTGAAGCTTCTACGTAAAGATAGTAAATGTAGTCATTTATTCAATTCATATATTATCAATATGTTTTATTAGATATTTAGTTCATTGGGCAAAACTATAATTTATGGACGAACCGAACAGATTTAAGATAACGGGTCTTTGATTTTGGCGCGAGTTTTGGCGCAGGTGCATCCACTCTATGTGTTCTCCCAAATTCTGAATTCTTCATGTTTCTTATTTTATCTCTTTCCAAATCTATTTTACTGGATTATACTCTCTGAATAACATCTTCAAACCCTAATGTTTCTGATTACTGCTTATAGTCTTACTACATATACCACTATGGAATTTAAATCGACAATTGCATCTATGTCCTAATGTGGTATGGCAACTTGAACTGATTTATGTACGTACGAAGTTCTACGTTGTTGCTGACTGACTGATATATAGGCGAGACTATAATTTATGGACGAACCAATCAGATTTAAGATAATATGTCTTGGATTTTGGCGTGTAATTCACTCATCCATTTGGATAAATAGAGTTTTGGCATTTTAGATGATGTCAGTTTATGATGAAAAAGGCGTAAATCTAATCCCTAACCTTAATCATAATCTTTATTCCTCAGACTGCTTTATAACCCTCATTTAGCGCTGATAAGTAGGTAAACACTTTCAAGGTCACTTTGGTGTCACTTAAAGGTCGTTCATAAATTATGGTCTTATCGTTAATTGTATTATATTTTATAGGTGACATACATTTTACATCATTCTTTGACATGATTTTCAATTATACTTTTCTTTTGATATAACATTATACCGAACTCCGCCTGGAGTCCTTCCGGGGGCTACTGCCGGTCCCAAGCCTGGATAAAGGAGAAGGGTCGGGGAATGGGGTTAGCGTCCCCATCCCGTAGAAAACTAACTCGCTAAAAAAACGCTAACCAGAAAAAATTATTCAAATATTATACCAATAGGGTTCATTTGTGAATAGTATTGAGAGAAAATAAATGAAATTCACGGTGTACTGTGATCATGTTTGCCATTAAAAGTGAGTCTTTTATAAAATAAATAAATGTGTATTGTTTTGAACTTTAGTCATAGGTTGACATGAAGCTGATTGACAAGTGTTAATAGAACAAAATGTAACAAGCAATTCAATAAACAATATGGAAGAAGTTTTGATCTCTGAATTGGATGGCTTGATTTTGGAGTTTCTATTGTTCTTCTGAATGACATCATCAGCATGAGTTTCAGGTAAAAGTGAAGTGTTTGAATTTCTTCATGTATGACTTAGCATATCTTGTAAACCTCGATCTTGATTGGTTATTGTTGATCATTAAACTGTCGTTATCTTTAAAATAGGGAAATTTCGTACTTAAGTCAAATTAACTTATTTTAATCCTAATTTGTTGGATGAGAAGTACAACTTGTAAATCCAACCTCCAACATTAAGGGTTGAATTCACGGTCTCACACTTTACTACACTATTCCTTAGTTTTCAGTCAGATCCATCGGTGAAACTGTTCGAACATAACGGCTCGTTAACTTTCTAACTAAAAAAACTTGATAGTGGTATCGAACGATATAAGAGGAGACCAAGTTTAGATGATACTCAGCATTGATACTGCATAATAAGCACATCCTGATACGTAAACAAATAGATAAAACTCAATGATTTATTGATAATATACTGATTACAACGAACGAATAATTAGGTTCTCATAACTTATTATGTTAGAATTTAGAGGTTAAGCGCTTGCGCGCGAAACCGGAGGTCCCGGGTTCAAATCCCGCCAAAGGGATCACGAATGCGCGCTGCTGAATCCCATATTGCGACGAAACAATCTTCCAGTGCTTCCAGGTTTTCCATAGTGGTCTAGATTTAATTGACTCATAAACCCAACTATTGAATTAATAATAGTTTAACATTCAGATAAGGGATTCTTAACAGAATGTAGGGAATAATAATTTATTACTTAAATCATTTTTTCGACCTTTCATGATCTTGAGAGTGTCCACCTACTGACTAGGACAAAATGAGTCTTACAAACCAGTGTGGAGAAATAGAATTGAGACTAACAGTCGATAGTTAAGGTTAATAATTAGATTTTTGTAGTTTTCATCATGAACTAACATCAGCTAAATTGCCAAAACGCAAATTAGTCAAATGTATGAATGAATTTCGCGCCAAATTCTAAGACCTGCTATCTTATATCTGATTGATTCGTTCATAAATTATAGTGTCTCCATTCATTTGGTATTGTTTCACTTGGATCTTCCCATTTCAGGTACATCCAGCTGACGAGTCCCAAACAGGACGAAACGCGCGTCCTGGGTTCCACTGCTAGACACTATCCATCTTTCCTTATAGTGTCTCCACTTAGAAATTCCAGTTGAAAGAAAAGATCTTTAAAATTCGATACTTCACAATTAACTACTTATAAATAGTAAAACGTTAATATGAAAAATATTTTAGACGTAAATATTAAAAATCCTTACTTTTTGGCTCTTCTTCCTGAAGCACTATATAAATAGAATCAAGAGAAACATATTTATAATAAAGAGTTATTAAGCTAACAGATTTATTAAATGGTTGATAATACAATGAATTATGTAATAGGTAAGCAACATATTTTCTCCAAAGTTACATTTTTTCGCTAATTCTTATTATTTATTTATTTGAACATAGAAATATTGCTACAAAAAGGGCACCGAATATATATGCGCCATACAAGTCACTTGATTTGTGTGTGGGCTGTAATACTGCCGGGTGCCCAAACCGAAGCAGGTGGTTTTCTTGGGGGGTCACACCCAGTGCCTTTGTTCTGAAGGTCTGATCCACAAGGCAATGGAGCAAAGTAAAGAGATACACTCCTATAGTAGCCAGTGATCAATAATTGGATCATACTCCACTTGTTAACTCGGGATCCTGGAGCCCAATTACACCATTGTTTTGAAATTTGGGTTTTCCAACTCCCCTAGGTGGACTCTCCGTATCCACCAACCTGGTTAAAGCACCGGACATTCGTTTTCCGTTCGCTCAAGTTCGTAAACAACCTCCGTAGTGCGAGAAGGCAATGAGTAGGACTTCTCTGGCAGTGGTTGTATGCACGTGTCCAGGTAAGAGCATTTCGAGAGAGAGTGTGTGTGTTGACTCTCCCTACGCTCGGCCGCACCAGGGCATTTGGGGGAATAAACGGAATGTCTCTGCCAGGATTCATGTAAATTGTTCAGGTAATTAGTCATAATATTGTTTATAAAATTATACTTCATCGGAGTTTATTTGATTAGTTTATTCTATTTAATCTCCCTTAACATTCATAGGTGAATAAATTCTTTCACAAGTTGAAATCATGAGTCAGTTGAAGCTAGACCACCATTGAAAACCTGGAAGCACTGGACGGCCGTTTCGTCCTAGTATGGGACTCCTCAGCAGTGCGCATCCACGACCCCGCACCACCCGGGGCCCGAACCCAGGACCTACTGGCTTCGCGCGCGAGCACTTAACCATTAGACCACTGAGCCGGCATCCAACGGTGTTAATGTCTAACTTCAACCAATCCACGAAGTTGCGCTACCGTACACCATTGTCCTCAGTGAGTTCCTATCTCACAACAGACCTGGTTGAACTCCACTGGTAACGACTTCTCACTAGAACTCCAGAAGTGTCTCCTGAAGTCAGTCACTAGTGAGCAGGTGATTATTATTATCAGAATGGGTTTTTTGTGGAGATTTTAGAAATTTCACAAGTTGAAATCATGAGTCAGTTGAAGCTAGACCACCATTGAAAACCTGGAAGCACTGGACGGCCGTTTCGTCCTAGTATGGGACTCCTCAGCAGTGCGCATCCACGAGAAGTCGTTACCAGTGGAGTTCAACCAGGTCTGTTGTGAGATAGGAACTCACTGAGGACAATGGTGTACGGAAGCGCAACTTCGTGGATTGGTTGAAGTTAGACATTAACACCGTTGGATGCCGGCTCAGTGGTCTAATGGTTAAGTGCTCGCGCGCGAAGCCAGTAGGTCCTGGGTTCGAGCCCCGGGTGGTGCGGGGTCGTGGATGCGCACTGCTGAGGAGTCCCATACTAGGACGAAACGGCCGTCCAGTGCTTCCAGGTTTTCAATGGTGGTCTAGCTTCAACTGACTCATGATTTCAACTTGTGAAATTTCTAAAATCTCCACAAAAAACCCATTCTGATAAGAATAAATTCTTATTTTCAATTGTATCCTTAATTCTTAGTATACAGTTCAGTGTATAGATTACCATCAACTTTTTGATGACTTTGCAGAAGATTATGTAACATTTTAAATTACATAATCTGTATCAAATCAATATGATACACATAGAAACCAATGTTTTCTTAGATTTTACTGAACGTTAATCAAATATCACAAGAATAATCTAAATGTTGATAAGTCAAGTGAAGCCAAACAAATCGCAAGTATGTAAACGTGATAAGATTAATTTTATTGTTATTAGATAAGATCACTATCAACATTGCAGATCATATTTAACATAGTTAATTTTCAATACTCTTAAGTTGTAAGCATGAATATTTTGAAATGGAGCTCTTGATATGCTTGTATGCTATTATGAGTTCACCTTACTTGGTAAACGGAACGAAGGTTAAAAATACAGTGACACGATAGACTAATCTAATCCGTTGTCCCCGACCCTGCTAACTAGATAAAGAAGTCTTTTATGAGGCATAGAGAATGTATTTTACAAGCACCTAGAAAATACACGGTCACTAAGCACACAAATCAAGCTTATTTGTACAATGATAGGAACGCTCTTGAGAGAGCCACAGAATAACGTACTAAAAAAATTCGTCAACCAATGACAGTCAAGGATTTCTGAGTGGGAAATGTATACCTTACTGATGTGTTTCAAGTAGTGAGAAATCTATGTTCAGTGTTTTTAAAACACCAAAAATCAAAAGGTATTGTACGCTGTTATTAGTAACCTCACTGACAGAATTCGGTCTAACTTAAAAGATCAGTCAAACATTAAAGTAACCAGGATTCAATAGTCAATCAATCGCAGATTGGGTAATCAAACGTTTTTGCTTTTCAGTGGTTCTTCAGTGATCATTATCAATGTAAACTATTGTATCCTATACATCTTATATATTGAGAAAACTTATACTCTTCAATAGTTTGATCTTCATGTTTTTATGTTCTTGTGAAGGAATATTAACTGATGCATTTGATGAAGTTAAAAACTAATTTGTAAAGATTTCGATAACACATGTCTCAATTATATATAAACAGAATCTCAATATTTAAGGACATTTGATATTATTTTGTGTGATATGCTATTGATATATCGACAGATATAAGTAGTATTTATCATCAGTCGAAAGTGAAATGACTGGCAGCAGAAGGTTAAGAAGAACGATGAAAAGAGAACAAGAACAGAAATGATTCGTCTGGAGATGAAGGAAGAATAAAGTCTGAGATGATTGATTGACATTTTGCAAATGAAGTCTTTGCTGTATGGTTCTTAGATTTTACTAAGATGTTCTGTAATTTTATGTTCGACTATATTTGGTTGTTCCAACTTCTGTTCTCGCTCATTACATTATCATTTCAATAAATAAACAAACTAGACCATCATGGAAGATTGGGAAGCACTGGACGGCCATTTCGTCCCAATGTGGGATTCCTTAGCAGTGCTCATCCATGATCCCGTCCTGCGGGACAAAACGACCGTCCACTGCTTCCAGGTTTTCCATTGATGATCTAGTTTTAATTGACTCATAAACTCAACTATAACATCCACAAAACCCCCCTTTCTGAAAATAAACAAACAACAAGATCAATCAAAATTCACATTTACCTTCTTGATATGCTTTTTTCAACATAATAATTTCATTATTATTACAACAACAGATGATCTCATTGACAATATCTGGTTTCTTTAAGCCTTTATATAAATCATGGGCTAATATTTGTATACTTCCACGAAATAAAGTTTTAATAAGACTTTCATAATCACCTTTTGTTGCACTACATAATACATGAACTAAATCCTTTAAAAGAAAAATGTTAATTCAAAAAAGAAGAAATAATCTATGAATCTGATTAATTAATAGTATTGACTCAGTGGTCTAGAGATTAAGTGTTCGCTCGCAAGTTCAATAGGTCCTGGGTTCGAATCCTTTCGGTGGGATCGTGGGTGCGTATTGCTGAGGAATCCCATGCTACTCAGTGCATCCAGGTTTCTCATGGTGGTCGAGGTTTAATTGACTCATGAATTCAACTATTAATAATAATGAAATTGTTCAGACAGTTATTGGTAAACACTGGGAAACTTGTTTATCTTGAGATAAAACTCTCGGTATACGTAACCTCTCAAAACACATTGAGGATCAAGTTCAATGCGTTTAGGCCTTTGTGACAATCGCTTTATTTTGGAAAACCTATTTTCATGATATAACACTTGATAAATTTTCATTATTGTTGCATTTGATTCACCTATGTGATATTCTAATGTGTAATTCATACTGTAAGTTGGTCTTATCTAGTTATTGATAATGTATCCTTTCTTTTGACAACTCATAAGATACGTTACTCAACATTGTTTACTTGAATATTCTTATTTTTATTTAGGACTGCAATTGATCTGTGTCTTATTGGCATATATTCATACTGTGCGTATTGCCTCGATATTGCCTTAAGTCACAAGCTTTTTAAGCAAGGTTGGTTAAAGGCTAGTAGTGTAATCCAGTTTAACGCACGTTTCTTTCTATTTTGGTTAACGTGATGGCATTTGAAGCGAGCGGTACTGGGTTCGAGTCCCAGAGTGAACATCAGCTGTGAGATTCAGGTAAATCCAGGTGAAAGTCCTGAACAGGACGAAATATGCGTCCTGGATTCCACTGCCAGTTACTACCTATCTTTTCTTACAAAGTTTATTGATTGTATTCTCCCATTTTTTAAATTATCATTTTCTAGAGAAATACTCGGATGTAAATGTACTGTAAATACATTCGATGACATCTTTGTCATTGTTTATGAATTTGAACTGAATGATCGTAATGACAATGTAATCAGGTAACATAGTCCTAGGACATATAATTAACTTCATATTGTTATTTGATTAGAAACATGGTACTTAGCAAAGGTAATTTTTGAGATGGTGGAGAACATTTGTAGATCAGGTACTTGAAGTTTGTGCTGGTGATTTCGTTCAGAAGAACGATGGAAGCTCCATGACCAAACCATTTCGCTTACAGAACAAAACCTCAACAAAAAATTAATTTCTTTGTTTTATATTTACGTAGTTTAAGTAGGACATTTTCATGTACATCAAGATTTAGAACAAAAAAAGGTTTTCTGATTCTGAGTATCAATAGGTTAGTACAGTGTAAACATGCTTGTTATGTCATAAAATCATAAGATCAACCCATAGCAACTATTTACTCAGTATTATGATAAAAGTTGAAATGAAAGGTGAAACACTTTACCTTTTTATATCGCCTATGAAAAGTTTCTCTTATTTGATAACGTTGTTGTAGATTTCTATGTCCTAGAATTTTAGTGATGGTTTCTTCATCCGTAGCTAAAATAGAATAAATGAGTAAATACATTTAATAATTATTAACAAAGCGGTTAAACTTTCCATTAAATAGTAAGCAATTATGTAAATTATTATTATTATGTGTTGAAGTTTGACATTAACATCATCGGATGACAGCCAGCTCAGTGGTCTAGAGGTTAAACGTTCATGCACAAGAATGATAAGTTCTGGGTTCGAATCTTGCGAAGTGGATGCTCACTACCACGGGTGATTCCCACAATAGAACAGCCGTCCAATGCTTTCAGGTTTTCCATGACAGTTTAGCTTCAATTGACTCATGATCACAACTACTGAACTTACCATAATATCCTCGAAAACCCTTTATGATATTATTATTAGTGGCTTTATTCAATGTTATGTATTTTAGTACAATATAGAATTGTCAGCACAATGTATTTCAATAAGTTTCCGTCTTCTTATCTCTTGGTCGATCCTGACGACAAATATTCAGTGGTCGCCAGTTAGATGTAAGCAGTCCAGGAATCGACATCTAAATAATGTACATTTATTTCGATGCATATAGGCAGCAACTATGATGTTTCTTATTTTCCTTTTTTATATATTGTAGAACTAAATGTCGTAAAATTTTCGTAAACACACCTAAATGGGTTATGCCATTAATAGACATAATGATGTGTTAAAAAAAAGGAAATAGATAACTTGTTGAAATATCTAGATGGTAGGAATATTTGTATATGTAGCTCAGTTATTCAAGAAGGCTGCCTTGGTTATTTCTATTTGTGATAGATAAGTAATGAATGATATACGATAGATTTGTTAATCGACTAGTTAGTTTGACTGTCTTTTTTTTAGATGATGGAGAAAATTTGACGCTCAGGTGTATGATTCTAATGGAGTTTTGTTGTTTGAACTGGATAGTTTGATCGTGGAGCTTTATTCATTCTTTTGAACGACTTTTACCTGAAGTTTGTACTGATGCTCCACGATAAAACCATCCATTACAGTGAACAAAACTTCATTAAAAACTATCTTTTTTGCTTACTGACCATGATCGATATCTTGGTTAAATGATATTCTCAGGTAAGAGGTAAATTAAGAATGAAGCTTTATAGATTAAGTATCCAAAAAACAGATATGTGTTCATAGTTTACAACAAGTTTGAACATGTTAAGTAATCAATGTTATCAGTGAATAACTGATTTATTTTTATTTGAATAGTTTAGATCATTTATAGTGTTAAATAATCTTTAAATTTCAAGGTATCTCATTTTAAATCAAGGAGAGAACAAAACTTTAACAAAATCATCCACTTGAGCTATAAATCATCTTCACCATCTCAGAGATTATTCAGTACAATCTTCATTAATTGTTTGAATTCAAATTAGATAGATTTAGTATATTATTTGTTCTTCAGATATGATAACATAGTCTTCATCAATCAATCTTGTGTAATGGACAAATATTCAAGTGGGGACAATCGAATGTATTCGAACACACAAATTACAGAGTCTCTTAGTAAAATCAGAAATCCATACACTAGATACTCCATTTGCGAAATGTCAATCAATCGTCTCAGACTCCATTGTTCTTTCGTTTCCACATCAATAATTTTTTGTTTTCGTTCTCTTTTCTTCGATCTTCTTAACCTTTTGCTACCAGATATTTCACTTCTTGATTGATGATACATACTACTTATATATATATATATATATATATATATATATCGATATCCGTAGTGCATACTGCAACGTGATATGATATAAATCGTGAATCACTATGTTGATGAATCTAGGCTATCACTCTAAAATCTAAGGAGGATACACTGTAAAAACTCACCTTAAACAATACTTTGTAAATTCGATAAATGTTTAATAATAGGAGGAGCAAATGAACTGATCAATATAATTTCATGTGCATCAGCATGAAATTCTGATTTAAATCTCATTTAAAGCTTAGAAAATACCAGATTATTCATTATTCAGTCTACTATAATACCTGACACTATTCAGTACATCATCTTTTATTGATCCATGATGCTTGTTGTTGAATCATTCAAGAAATTGGTAATGATATTTACTGTATTATCAACCACGAAATCGGAGATAAGAGTTAATGTTAGTGTCAAAACTTTGACTATCAATTCAATCTGTTGTTTTAAATATTGAAGTTTACCTTTGTTCGTTTATTCACTTATTCTTATCTTTTATACTGGAACTGAAACAACCTCCAAATATTCTGGTATAACCGAGGGTGGGCAGAGTCAGCTCTCCCTCTCGAAATACAACCACACAACCACCTGCATACAACCACTGTTAGGAAAGTCCTACTCACTGACTTCTCGTTTCATTACTATTGTTTACAAAATTGAGATGATGAATAGCAAATGTCCGGCGCTTTAAACGGGTTAGTGGACACGCAGAGTTCACCTAGGGGAGTTGGAAAACCCTGATTCCAAACCAATGGTGCACATGGGCTCCAGTATCCTGAAGGTGCAAACGGCATATGAAGCAATCGTTATTCATCAGCTACCATGGGACTGTATCTCTTAACGTTGCTTCACTGCCTTGTGGATCACACTTTTAGGTCGAAGGGTCGGAATGTAGCCCTCTAAGAAAACCACCTGCTTCGGTTTGGGCGCTCGAGCAGTATCCTAGCCCTCACTCATAAATCAAGTGATTTGTGTGGCGCATGTCTATTTAGTACGTGCTTGTACTAATGTTTATGTGTTTAAATAAATAGAACTGAAACAACCAACTACTATTAGTTGTACAAGAATAGATCCAAACCAACGGATATACAGTCACTTAATGACACTTTATCGTTATTTAATCAACAATAAACACATAATTGGATAAGAACAAATGTGGTCTACAAATATAATAATGAAAGCATATTTAATTTTATGTATACTTACATAGTAATTTACAAGCGTTATGTAATTGTTCTGCATCATTTTCAGCGCTAATACGATCAGGAAATGTAATACTTGGTCCAGTTTGATGACTTATCCTAAAATAAATGATTATTTTTGAATGATAACAATTCATTCCTTCCTTTACTTATTTCATTAAGAATAAAGAACAAACAGTAAATCTCAACTCTTTTTGATTAACACCAAGTAACAACTCAAGTTATTCAATTTACCTAGGATAATTTCAAGTCAAATGTTAAACATTGGTTATCAATCAGTCAATCATGGAAAACCTGGAAGCACTGGACGGCCGTTTAGTCCTAGTTTTCCATGGTGGTCTAGCTTCAATTGACTTATGATTTCAATCAAAAACTGGTTGAGGTTAGACATTAACATCATTGGATACGCACTGTTGAGGAGTCTCACAATGGGACGAAACGGCCTTTCAGTGGTTCCAGGTTTTCCATGGTGGTTTAGCTTTAATTGATTCTTGATTTTAATCAAAAACCTGACAATCTCCACAACTCCTAAACTGATAATTAGTCAATCAATCAATTAAACACTATATACAATCAGAAGTATGTGTGAATTGGTTTAAATGGTTACAACCTGTTAGCATATCAAGATAAGGTTGTTAAAACAAATCAAAGGATAGCAAAAGTAGTAGCAATATTATTAGTAGTATTAGGAAAGAAAAGAAATGGAAGATATGGATAAAAAACAAAAAAAATAGTTTAGAAACGTCGAATCTAACGAAAGGAACTATTTTAAACAATGTCATCTTTAATCATTGATTATGCGTATCGTTTAAAATTCAATCAGGTAGTCTATATCTACCTACGAGATGGAAATCGTTAAAGCAGTTGTATTCTCTGAATATTACAAACAAACTTCCCAAGTAATTTGATTTCCTACATCAAGTTTGTTTATTTAGTATCAAAACTTTATCTGAACCGTTTTCTCATCATTCTAAGGTATATTCATATTATATTTTAATCAACAACATTGTTGTAAGTATGTTGCTACTGATATCGATAGATATAAGTAGTATGTATCATCAATCGAAAAGTGAAATGTCTGGTAAGAGAAGGTTAAGAAGATCGAAGGAATAAGGGTATTTCATACTGGAGTATAATACCTAATTCAAAACTTTGGTTTAAGTTGTATCCTGTTAACAAATTAACACCATCTAATACCTTTATACAGTGCATATGGTATCAAGTCAACTTGATTAATAACCACATTGAAAGTTGATCTACAGAATTAGACCATAGTGGTGTATTAGACAATAGTGGCATTGGTTACAATTCAGTAATCAACTAATGTATATTTCATCTATATATATTCTAAATAGATATCCATAGTAATGCCACGAGATGGCAGTGAATAGGACTTCCCTGTTTGTACAGTTTCTTTTTTTTGGTTTTTTACTTATTTATTTATTTTTGTATTTGCTACTGCCTTTTTGTTCGTTGTTCAGTAAGTAACTTGTTGAAATACCCTGTGCTGAGAATTCTATATTGTACCAAAATATAATATTGAATAAGGCCATTAAATAATAATAATATATACGCGTGTACATGTGAGAGCATTTCGAGAGGTAGAGCTGACTCTTTCCACCCTCGACCGCATCAGGGAATTTGGGGACTTTCTTGTAAGGAGGAGAATTTTTTAACTTTGTGTACTGATGCCACGTTTTGCTTTGGCTGTCCAAACTTTCTTCCAACCGCCCCCAACACCAGTCAGCATTGCGCGTCGTGGTAATTGGTGTTCAGGCATACACAACACAAAGCCTAACTATCTCAGTCGACGAAGATTGACAACCTCATTAACTGACTTACCATCATTCCCTTATACCCCTTTGTCTAACCTCACTATTACTTACCTGGTGATGCCAGCAAATGCGAGCGATATTTCTAAGGTATCTGTGAATAAATACTAGTAAGTTAAGAGTATTTTCTATTCTTAATGTTCACGTTTTGTAGCTGTAAAGTAGGACAAAACGAATTGCTGCACAGTATACTGCTCCCCTAATTGATAAACAGACGATAGGCAAGCCGGACTACCACGTCAGGCTACCAGAAACAGTCGAGTGTTTAGTTATAAAATCTTATTAAAATCAAATCATAATATGTGAAACTAAATTTGTTATCAGAAGCATATATGAATTGGAAGTAAGAGGAGAATAGGATGACATTTCAGGAGAGCGTTCAACATGAAGTGAACACGATACTATACGGACAATACTACAAACTTTAGATTGTCTGTGTAACACATCATAAAATAGTAAACAAAAGAATAATAGAAATGGACAGTACTGAGAGGCTTTAATAGTCATGGAATTATTGTATAGAGTCTTATATCCTATAATAACTTTCAACGTTATTGCAATATAAAGTATGTCTTATAATATTCGTAACTGGTTAGAGATTAAACGAGAAAGTTATTAGTTTAAACATGTAACATTAAATTGAAATTCATCAATTTTTCATATTTTAAATAAGGTATTTTAATAGTTTAACAATGACAGTAGTAGCGAATGTTTATATGGCACTGTCAATGAATCCGTGACTAATGGACTTCAATCGTGTAGGGTGTAAGGCAGGTGATCACGTAATATCGTAGACTAATTAAAGTTAGATATTAATATTATTGGATATCGGTTCATTGATTTACAATTTAAGCGTTCATGTGTAGAACCTAAGATCTTAGGTTCGAATCCCATATGCCGGATTATGGATGCTCATTGATGAGAAGTTCCATACCAAGAAAAAACGGCCATGAGATATTTTTGTGTTTTTCACAGTAGTATAACAATGGTCGTATTACTTTTTCTGGTTAGTGTTTTTTGGCGAGTTAGTTTTCTACGGGATGAGGTGGCTAACTCCATGCCTGACCCTCTTCCTTTATCCGAGTTTGGGACCGGCAGCACTCTCAGGGGCTTTAGGCGGTGGATCTGATGCAGACGTGGATTGGCAAAGCAAGAGCAGGATATTTACAACTGAAGAACATCTGGAACTCGAAACATTTGTCAACTAACACCAAGGTCAGAATTTCCAATACAAATATCAAGGCAGTTGTACTGAATAGATGGAAACCAGGAGAACTATGAAAGCCATCATCCAGAAGATACAAGTGTTTATTAACAGTTGTCTACGCAAAATACTTCGGAACCGTTGGCCAGACACTATCAGCAACAACTTATTGCGGGAGAGAACAAACCAGATCCCAGTAGAGGAAGAAATCGGGAAGAAGCGCTGGAATTGGATAGGAGGAAAGCACCCAACTGCGTCACGAGGCAAGCCCTCACTTGGAATCCTTAAGGCCAAAGCAGGAGAGGAAGACCAAACGACAGATTACATCAACAAATGGAGACAGATATGAAAAGAATGATCAAAAATTGGATAGAACAATAAAGAAAGGTCCATGACAGATTGGGTTGGAGAATGCTAGTCGGTGGACTATGCTCCATTAAGAGTAACAGGCATAAGTAAGTAATAACAATGATTGGTTTATGATCTCAATAAATTAATTAAAAACCATTATAGAATACTATTTATCATTTACAAAATGATTATTTACTTACATTCTTATTGGTTCAATGTACTAATCTCTTAATTGTATCAAATTTTGTTAAATTACTGAATTTGTTTTAATCTATTATATATATCTAAGTCTCTCTCTATATATATAATGAAATAAATGACCTTGATCAGAAAGAGAACACTTTAGTGCGTATATAAAGGTTACATAATCTATATAGTCGATAATAGTTCATCAGAATCATTCACGTTTCGTTTAATCAAATCTATATTTGTAATAAAAGTATATGTGCTATGTCTATTTAGACTTATCAATGCCAAATAAGTACTGATACTATTGTGTAGTATAGTTGTATGTGTTTGTATGTGTATGTATGTATGTGTGAGTGAGTGTGTGTGTGAGTGTGAGGTGTGAGTGTGGATTGTATTGCAAAGATTTAATTTTTCTTGAATCTATACATGTGTATCTGATATTGTAAAGTAATTTTATATAAAACGGGTTTTGTTCTTGTTGTTTGTGCATTATTTCCAAGACTGTGTAATTTGTAAAAAGAAAAGATTTTCGGTAACCAAATCTTATTTTTTGGTTGGTTGATTGGTTGGTATAATAGTATTAATGAAGTTAATATAAGTGATTTTGATCAATAGGTTTCTCGTCTTCCTCTTTTTCTATGACTTTGAGGATTTCAAGTTAAGGTTTGTCCTGTAACGTAGTTAGGTATATTCTTCAATGTGTTCCCTATTGAGGAAAGCACCGAATTATGTCACTTGGAATCTTCAAAACCAAAGGCGAAGAGAAAGATTAAAGAACTCATGGCACTGAGAAATGGAGACATATTAGAAAAATGAACAACAATTGGATAAAACAAAAAAGGAAGGCCCAGGACAGAGTGGGTTCGAGAATAGTGCTCGTCGACCTATGCTCTATTGGGGGCAGCAGGCGTAAGTTAGTAAGTGTGTTATCAATAGTGAACTCTTAGGATATGTCATATATAACTATTTTCAATGTGATAAGTGCTACGAAAAAAACCCATAAAAATATACTTGGTGTTGTTTAGGACTGCAATTGATCAGTCTCTTGTTGGTAAATGTGCATCCTGTACATATTACCTCGATAGATCCAGCTGATGAGTCCCAAATAAGACGAAACGCGAGTCCTGAATTTCAATGCTAACCAGTATCCATCTTTGCTTAACCAACTAAATAGTTTGTTTACTGTTCTCTTTGTCTGTCTTTTTGAAAACCAACAAATGATTATAGTGATATCTTTAGATAAAAAAAATCAAGTGATTAATCATATTGTCATAGATACAAAACTTGTCGTTGGCATTTGAGGATGTGGAAAAGTTTCAGTTAATTGTATACATGATATAGTCGGCCGATCAGAAATGGCCACATGAGAACTTCATATGAAAACAATCAAAAATAACCTTGAGGGTCAAATGTACATAAGTAGCCAAGAAATGGAGTGATTTTCCAAGGGGTATATATTTATATAAATAAGTATTTATGCATATTATTCGATACTCTAATGAACTTTCTATTTCACTGTTGTCTTCTCGCTCAGTGATTCAGTTAGCGAAGTTAGCGCGTAACAAATTGTATATCACTGTCAGATCTCTAACATCATCAGTAATAATGATACAATTATTTCCAATATTCATATGTTCACTAGTATTATGTTGTGAATTTATTGGAAAAATTCATTTTTCTACTAAGAATGTTCACTGTGAAAACCATGTAATATTGAATGAAGAGATTTTTTAATAGTTGAATTCCTGATTCAATTGAATCCAGACAACCATAGAAGCAATGAACGGCCGTTTCGCCCTAGAATGGGACACCTCAGTAGTGCACATCCACGATCCCACCTCACGAGATTCGAACCCTGGACCTATCAGTATCGTATGCGATCGATTAACCACTAGATAACTGAGCCAGCCGGCATCCAACAGCGTTAATGTATAACTTCAACCAATTCACGAATATATAAATATAACAGTATTATCTATATAATTCAACGTTACAGAATAAAACATGTAATATTCACTTCAAGACTTGAAAATTTGATGTTTGAATGGTGTAACGTCAATCTTCTGTAAATATGTAAACCTTTCCGATTGATCGTATACTTTAGGAATAGTCACATTTAAAATAAAAACTGACTTAATAAGTAGTTTCAAATAAGTAGTTTACCGTTCTCATTTATCTAATCTTTTATTATTTATCTATTATAGATCCTGATGATGCTATTATTGAAATACTTGGTCATAGAAGTCTTCAACAACGTTTAGCTATACAAGAAATATATAAACGTTTATATGATAAGGTATAAAAAAGTTAAATTTACTGGTTTAGTTGTTTTAACTGTAAATTTCTGCAAACAATTTTGTGGATTAATGAAAGTTAGATATTAGCACCATTGGTTGTTGGCTGGCTGGGTGGTCTACAAGTCATGAGTTTGTGTGCGACACTGAGGGATCCTGACTTTGAATCTCGTGAGGTGGGATCGTGGGTGCGCACTACTGAGGAGTCTCACAATAGCACGAAACGGCTGGCCAATTCTCACACGTTTTCCATGGTGGTCTAGTTTCAATCCACACATGATCTCAACTATTAAAATTATATAGCAATTGGCAACAGAAATTGTGAACCATTATCAATTAATCAATAAAGAGAAAGATGATTAACATTCTTAGTTTAGTTGATGAATAGATGGTAACAGAAAATAGATCTAAATTGTCTAATATCCACAAATATTCTGAACGACAGAATCTCTAGGCTGAAAAATTAATTTAATACTTTCATATTCAAAGAGAATATTAATAAACTAATAATATCAATCTAATAAAAGCCCCAACAGACTCGTTATGGTGTAGTTACAGTGTAAAAATACTTAATTACTTACGCCTGCTACTGCTGGTGAATGGGGTTTAGTCCGCTCACCAGCATTCTCCATCCAAACGTATCCTGTGCAATCCTTCCCAGCTCTTTCCAGTTGTTATTCATCTTTTTCATATCTGCTTCTGTTTCCTGACCTGATTTGTTCTTCTGCCTTCCTCCTTTCAGCTTCCCTTCACGATTCAAAGTTAGGGCTTGCCTCGTGATGCAGTTTAACGATTTGCGTAATGTATATCCTATCCATTTCCATCGTCTTTTCCTAATTTCCTCCTCAGCTGGAATTTGGTTTGTTCTCTCCCACAGAAGACTGTTGCTGATGGTATCCGACCAATGGATGTTGAGTATATTGCGTAGACAGCTATGTATAAATACTTGTACCTTCTTGATGGTGGTTGTTGTAGTTCTCCAAGTTTCAGTTCCGTACAGTAGAATCAACTGTCTTGACATTGATATTGAAGATTCTCACTTTGATATTGGTTGAAAGTTGTTTTGAGTTCCACATGTTCTTCAAGTGTAGGAATGCGACCATTTCTTTGCCAATCCTTGCCTTTACATATGCATCAGATCCTCCTTGTCCATCGATGATGCTTCCCAGGTATGTGGAGGGTTCGGAATCTTCCAAAGTTTCGCCATCAAGTGTGGTCGGATTGATGTTCTCCATGTTGTATTTGGGGACCTAGGTTTTGTTCGTGTGTATGCGATAGAAGGGCCAGGTCATCTGCGAAGTACAGATCATCTAATTGGTTCATTGTATTCCGCGTTTTCCTTCAGATGTCGAGGTCTTCGTAATCCAGTCGACCACCAGAAGAAAGAAGAAGAGAGAGAGTAGACAGCCTTGTCTGACTCCGGTCCTCACTTGGAATGCATCTGTCAACTGTCCTCCATGCACGACTTTTCATTGTAGTCCGTCGTATGAGTTCCGGATAATGTTGATAATTTTCTCATGGACTCCATAGTGTCGAAGAAGTTTTCATAACGTTCTCCTATCTACACTGTCAAACGCCTTCTCATAGTCAATGAAGTTGATGTACAGTGACGAGTTCCACTCAACTGATTGTTCGACGATGATCCGTAGTGTCGCAATTTGGTCTGTGCACGATCGATCCTTACGGAATCCAGCTTGCTGATCTGGAAGTTGTGCGTCTACTGCGTCTTCCATCCGGTTCAGCAACACTCTGTTGAAGCCTTCCCCTGTTGCTGACGGTAGTGTGATTCCTCTGTAGTTTTCACATTTGCTCAGATATCCTTTCTTTGGAATCTTGATGAGGTATCCTTCTTTCCAGTCCATCGGCAGTTGTTCCTCCTCCCAAATCTTCTTGAATAGAAGGTGAATCATGTTTGTAGTTACTTCGATGTCTGACTTCAACGCTTCAGCTGGTATGTTGCCTGGTCCTGCTGCTTTGATTTGTCTGATGGCCATTCTGATTTCTTCCTTCGTTGGTGGATTGACATCTATAAAAAGATCTGTGTGTGCTGCTTCGATGTCCGGTGGGATCATTTTTATTGATTATTTAATTCAACACATAGATATTTGTAAAAAGAGGCACCAAATACATATGCACTACACAAATCTCATTCCATATGTGTGAGGGCTTTGATACTGCCCGGGTGCCCAAACCGAAACAGGTGGTTTTCTTAGGGGGCCACACCCGGAGCCTTCGACCTGAGGGTCTGATCCACAAGGCAGTGGAGCATTGTAAGGAGATGCAGTCCCATGGAAGCCGGTGACCAACAATTGGTTCGTACGCCATTTGTTCCCGCAAGATACTGGAGCCCATGTGCACCATTGATTTGGAATCCGGTTAAAGCGCTGGACATTCGCTTTTCGTCCTCTCATTTTCGTAAACAACACCCCCGCCACGAGAAAGCAGTGAGTAGGACTTCCCTGGCAGAGGCTATATACGCGTGACCATGTGAGAGCATTTCGAGAGGGAGAGCGGACTCTCCCCACTCTCGGCCGTATCACGGCATTTGGGGGCAGTGGGATCATTGGAGCAGGCCTATTCAGGAGTTCCTCAAAGTATTCTACCCATCTGTTACGTTGTCGTTGAATTTCAGTGATAGGCCTGCCTTCTTTGTTCTTGATCGGTCTATCTGGTCTACTATATTTCCCTGCTAGTTTCTTCATTGTATCGTAAAGCTGTTTCATATTTCTTTCGCTTGCAGCTTTTTCGGCCATTTTTGCTAGTTCTTCCACGTATTCCTGCTTGTTGACTTTAATGCTTTTCATTACTTGCTTGTTTGCTTCCATATACTCAGCTTGTGCTTGGACTTTCTCTGCTCGTGTTCGGCTGTTGTTAATTTCTGTCTTCTTGTTCTTTCTTTCTTTGATCTTGTCCAGTGTTTATGTAGGGATCCATTACTT